AGCCCCCGCCACCCGCCCGGCCGGTTCTCCTCGCCCCCACCCCGCCCGATTATACTCGACAGGGTCTACACAGAACCTGGATTAACTTTATTACACCGTGGCCGACATAAAAGCCTATACAATATGTACCCTACCCACTCCTCGCACTCCCGAAATCGCGAGTGCTTGGTAAACCGAACGTGACTTGGCAACAAAATCGATTTTATACGAAAATATAGAGCAGAAATCGATACTTCTGTTAAACAACATACCCATGGAATATGCTAATTTTATTTTTCAGCCAAAAACTAGGAAGGAATATGTACTAAAATGTAAACACATACCAAAACACACAACAAGTTTCTGTTTCTAAATATGTACGATTCCATTGCGTGCGATTTTAAACGAGTTTTGCGATGCATTTATTCTGCATCGGAGTTTGTCCTTCGTTCAGTGAAGATAACGATTATTTTATTTTACATTGCTTTGTTTATACGATACCCGTAATAATAAAGCTGGCTATCGGCGTGACCTTATTAAATTGCAGGCATCTCAATAAAAGTTTGCTCCGCAGAATATAATATTTCCGTTAATAAGAAAATATTGCATATCTTATACTTGACATGTAAGGTACTAAAAACGTTTGTATAACAGAATATGAGTTGTTCAACATTCGCCATTTATTGCAAATGCGATCTAATATGACGACTTGTTAAATGCGAACTCAGAAATTTAATTTCAAACTAACAGTTAGTACTTCCGTATTTTAATTTTTAAAAATCCATATATCTTGATTTTTTAAGTAGTCCCTTAAATAACTAATGAATCTTTTCATTTCATCGTAGATTTATTCAATGGTATCGATCATTAACTATAATAAAATTGAAATCTATGACCAACAAAATTAATGTAATTGGTTAAAACAACGAGAGCTTTTGTACGTCGTATTGATGAGGAAAGCCAGACATATCGATTGGCTTTCGCTGTGGCGCACGTGCGACGTCCACTATTAACTAACAAGGATAACAAATAAAACACACCTCGAACTAATCAGTACTTTATGTAAAATATACAAACGCGTTCTATTTAATATAAAGATCTGGGATAAAACTTTGAGTTTCAGGAATAATAGGAAATATGCTTTAGAAATCGAAACACTTCTGCTTGGAAATGACTATCATTAGGAATAAATTATTTTGACAAATAATAGAGGTACAAACGAGTATACAGGGTGATTCCTAATGGACGAATCACAAGCATTGTCGAGATAGAGGACTTTTTTAAGGTAGTTATCGTATGAGCGCAAAAGTATGTAGAAAAATTAAATAAATTTAAAACTGTAGCAAATCAGGAAAACATACTTTGCGCTTAAACGTTAACTATTGAAGTCCTCTACCTCCACAAAGCTAAGATCCATCCGTTAAGAATAACCCTGCATAGTATAACAAATAATATAAGCGACGCAAAACACACTACAATAATGTCAATTGGGCTATATGTAGAACCATAAACATGGAATTTTAATTTTTAATCGGAGCTTTGCTACACACTCTTTGACTTTTATTTTGTCGGATTTAAAATTCGAATTCCCATATTTATCTATTTAATTTAAGGTTATTTTATTGGAGGTGGATTTTCACTACTTTGTAACTGTTCATCATAATCGATATCGTCGTAGTCTTCAAAATAATCTTCCTCAAAATCTTCATAACTTTCATTCTCTTCTCTGTCTTTATTTACTTCGACCCATTCGCGAGTATCAAATTTCTGCTTACGTAGTTTACTTTCAAGAATCTGAAATAAATATTTATTGAATTGATACAAACATAGCATGACTCCTGGACGTATGTGGTAAGATTAGTCTAATAAACTTATTTGTATTTTCGATGTTTACATTTCAATAAGAAGTTCTTAGTTAAATAAATTATCAAGATATAATCACAGGCAAATAAGACACAAATACTATTAAACGTCTGAATCCTTCGCGGATTTACTTTCGTACTCATAATCATTAATTTCTCACCAAGAAGTGTACCTTACCTGTACCTTAGTGTTACAGACCATTTAAATGCACGATTTATGTCCAGTTCAAGTTACAAAGGTGTACAGAAGCCAGCCTACAGTCGATAAAACTACATCATTTACAGAAAAAAAAGTAACGTTTTAAATTAAAAACCGGTTTTAGAACGATTTACGCTACTTTCTCTTATACTCGCTGGACGTTAATCGATACGGTGCAACGACGTAAGTACGTTGTTTGATAAAAAAATAACTTCACCGTCATTTGTACTGCAAATACTAGTCTGGTATAATCGCTAAAACAATAAATGGTATTCCAAAAAACTGATAATGAACAAAAAAGAAATACCATAAAACTTTTTCTAAAGAAATATTTTTCGTATAATACCTTTTGTGCTGAATTGCAAACACCGGGCAACTTAGTAAATTAGCAAGTTCGTAGAAATGCGTATTAGTCACGATTTCAATAGACACAAAAGAAAGCCCTTCGTATTTACAGCCAGTAACTTTGACCCTTAACTCGTCAGAAAGAGAACAAAAATATTTGTTGAGTATAACTTATCTTTACTCTTTGTTATTTTCCATTATAAGTACCGTTGAAGGAACAAATGAAATTGTTTATTGATTTTATATCAAACCATTAGCCTTGCCCGGCTACAATTTCTTCGATATCACTCAACAATATTGCTTATTTACAGTTGTTTATCAAATATTATTATTTATTGCCTTATATGTTTTATATTATAGCAATCCGTAGTGAAGTATATACGTCTCATATCTTTTCTATCATATCCATATCCTTCCCGTTGATCTAAAATGTAGCCTATGTTACTTAGAGATGATGTTTTCTTTTTTCACACCGTCTTTCGTATTTCCGTCTACATGGTATGAAAAAAACAAAAGCCTATGTGTTCTTCCAGACTATCTTTCACTTCTATACCAGATTTCATCGAAATCCGTTCAGCTGTATAGAGTACAAACTCTAACAAACATCCATCTAAACTTTCGCGTTTATTAAATTAGTATGAAGTATCATTTAACGCAAACAATCAAATCTTAACTTATTATAGATGACATTTTTCACTGTTATTATCAAAATAATCTATTGATATCAAAAATTAAAACATTATAAAAAAATTGTAGACTTCAACAAACATGTCTTTAGTAAGTAATTACTTTCGCGTGTTAGTAACCACAATTATGCGATTGATATTTCGTGGAATCGACTCCCTATAATACGTGTCCATTAGTAAGTCCGACAAAATACAGACCTACCCCATAGATCGACCCGATAGAGGGGGTATTCCCACCATAATTGTTATAGTCTAGCGCTTTGTAAATGACTCACCATACAATTAATTAAAAAGATATGCAATTCTAGAAAAATTTCGTTAACGAAATATATAATTGGTATCAAAAATATCAGTCAGTTTTATTATACAAATTATACTAATATTACAAATGCGAAAGTTAAGATGGATGGATGTTAGAGTTTGTAGCCTAAACGGCTCCACGAATTTCGATGCAATATAGTATGGATGTTGAGAATAGTCTGAAAGAACACGTAGGCTACTCACTTTTGTTTTTTTTAATTCCACGCGCACGGAGTGGCGGGCGAAAGCTTGTGCTATGTAAATATACGTATTACCTTTGTTTAATAATCAGTTCGTAAACACTTATTTTTATTTAAATACTGTCTCTTATATTTCTTCTGCTCACCTTTCAAGAGTTATATCGTGATGTTCAATAGCCTATCTTAATAATTATGCTTTTTAATATACAAAGAATTTTTAATTTTTTTGTCTATAGGAAAGCATAATTTCTATAGCTATAAGTATAAAAATATGAGGTACTATTTTAAAAATTTTCTAACCTTATTTGTAACTAGTACAGTAATTTACTTACACTACATACTAGCTTTCTCCCACGACTTCGTCCGTGTTGAAGTAAATAAAAAACAAAAGAATTAGCCTATATGTTCTTCCAGACTATCCACAAAGTCTATGCCAAATATCATCGAGTTCCGTTCAGCCGTTTAGAATACAAACTCTAACAAACATCCATCCATCTAAACTTTCGCATTTATAATATTAGTCAGAAGTAAGAATTTTATTTATTATTTACCTGTCTCTTAAACAAGAATTCAGCTAATTCCTGTTTCTGTTTTCCCGTATTTACTTCAGTTCCTTTATTTTCAGGTGCTCTGTAAGTAATCACTGGTGATTCTTCCTTAAGGCTGCTCCATGCGTCTTTACTCCTTCGTCTAGCCGCTAGTAACCTATTCATGATTAACGAGTGATCCAATCCATAAACGTTATGAGTCATTTCTGGTAAGGGATCTTCTGTTATTGGTAAATCAGCTTCCAACTGTGCTATTTTCGCCTGAAACAATTGTTTTAATTCATTTAGTTACAAACTAGCTGTGGCCCGCGGCTTCGTCCACGCAACATTAAAATGAAAAGTAGCCTATAATATGCCCGTCTATGTCAGCTACCCTTCAGTTGAAGTCCGGTCGAAATCGGCCCAGCCGTTTCGGAGATTGTCCGGAACAAACGCGGCTTGCAGACAGACAAAGAAAAACAAAAACCATTAAATGCGATTTTCGTTATCATCAACGCAACATTTTCACGTTATCTGGAATTTTTCTTTTGATATTACAAACAGACACTCCAATTTTATTATATGTATAGATGTATTGTTTCGTACATTACGAGCCATGTAACATGTGGCTATGGTGGACAATAAAATATATAATTTAAATACAATTATATGTATTTGAAATTTCTATTACCATCAACTTCATTAAACAAATAATACTATTATAAATATTGAATTGATGGAGAAGTCTACATAAAGAACAGCTATGAATAAATTCTAAGAGCCAATTATTTTCAGAGATAATCGGCTTAAATTCATGAAAGGTCCTTTCAGAGAAATAAAGACAAAAGGTTGAGTCTGGCATTATTGTATACTTTATTATATGAAAACTCATTATTGTTCTAACTTTGCTTTACAAAATGAATTACAATATTTTCAGAAAGGGATTACCATATTTTATTACTAAAACAATAAAAAAAGCTTCGGTTTAGATATAGTTTTAATGATTTAATAATCTACTGTAAATATTGGACTACTTCAATATATTTAATACAAAATATGAAACTACATTTATACGGTACAGTGCAGAACAATACCTACTTAGCCGGAGAGCATCAAAAAGTAGGAAATGAACACTTAAATGCATGCGGAGTCAATAGCGTATAGAAGAATCCTGCAGAGTCTAGCCGTCGAAAAAAGAGGGGGAAGTCTTTAATAACTGCAGACATGTACCCCTATATAATTTATACTCTGTTCATTGACCTTTGCTAGATATTACGTAATCTCGTTTACGAAATGGTCGTCTTATGACTTCGACATGATTACAGAGGAACTAAATTAAAAAAGAAACGGTTACGGCTGATAAAGTGGGCGTTGTATATAAGCATTGAAACTTAGGGCCTGTCCCATCACATTGTAAATTGTCTGAAAACAATCAATCGGAGTTTGTTACCTTATCTCACAGTGACGTCATTTTTAAGCTATCTGAGCCAGTGGTGGGACAGGCCCTTAGACTACGCAATCGTGTGTTCGTAATACACATGTATATCTGTCGACAGTAGCTCGGAAGTTCTCAGGGGGTGGGACATCGTTAGCATGTCTACGTCGTAGATACAATTCCGCAGCAGTTTAATCCCTAAGCCGTATGAGACGATGATGCCATACTTGGTATACGCAGTTATCATATACGCATTTAATCTATGCCCATTCAGACAATAGGGACATAAGTCTTAACTCGTCTTATGCAGTTAGCTGGAACTTTAACAGCTTTTGTATGGTTGTAAATAGCACTTTTTAAAACTATTCAAGTCTCTGGTTCTATTTTAAATATTTAGAGATTTATGTTTATACGTTGATTTTATAATCTATGGCTGTTGTAAAACATGGCTTAGTTGCATCACTTAATTATTGCTTTTCCGTGTTTATTCATTTATTTAAACTATTGAAATCTATGGTCCAAAAGTTAGTAATAAAATTACATTACATGTAGGAGTTACAACCATTTCTCGTAAACTGTTTGTCAATTTATTTATTAAAAATATTAAAGACATTTACGAGATTCTATACGCAATATTAAATCTCCTTCTCTTTATTATACAGAAACTTCAACAATGTCGAGGCACTTCGCAGCTTATGTGCGCAGCAAATGGATGTTCGTTGTATGTACGGCGCAATGGCGGCTATACGAACACCCTGTACTTATGTCGTGGTGCGATCGATCGTGCGCCGACCGGCGTAGACAGGGACCTATAGAATTTATACATCTATAGCTAACTCCCAGCCGTCATTTACACAAATTATTCGCAAATTGACTTTATGTGATTTATGTTGGCAATTTAAAATAGCTTCGTTGTCTTTTGCCCTTTTAACAGATGTGCTTTAATGCATGTTGTACTTCTATTGTTTCAAATCACCACGTGGTTAAATTTGAATATAATTTGGTAAATTACTTTTTTGTAGAAAATCAAAAGTAAAAACGAGATTAAACGTGGCACTTACTGTTTAAATTGTTACCGACAGCGCGGCAGACAAAAATACAAATTTTATATTAAACCAAAACTATATTTTAACTTATTTACATATCTATCTATACGTATAATAAATTGGAGTGTCTTTTCCTTTTTTTCATAATTGGGGAATCTTTTTCTTCTACTGTTTTTACTACATGTATTTAATAATAAAACAGACAAAAATTTTGTGGCCAGTTTGCAACCTCTTTGGATGTATTCATACTTCTTGTCAGCCAAAGAGGTTGTTTTATGCACTGAACTCTTACCACATATTTCTACTACATATTGACATATCCCACTTCCTTACCTTCATTTCAGGTGAAAGCTTAGTATTCGATGTGAACTCTGTTTTCAACATATGGCCAATCTCAGTAGGTGTGTAATCTTCACCAAAATCCGCTTTGGTTAATCTGCGATCCAGATCCGCTATTTGCGCTTCTTGTTTATCTACAAAAGGCAAATATATTAAATTACGTAATATCGTTTAATGTTATGTTAAAAATGTGACAAGTAATTGAAATTATCTTTATTTACTTCTTTTGAAATGTTACTATTGTCTACTTTTTTATACTTGTATACTTTTTTCGTTGTCGAATTGAAAGCAGTAATTTTGCGCGATAATATTTCATGTCAGAAATAAAATTTACTTAAATCAATCATCATTAAACAGTTGGTTCAAACTACTTTCAAAGCTTTACTAAAATTCAATCAATTCACAGTTTCACTATTTTTCCTTGAGCAAGTATCTCTGTTCACAAGAACTATACAGTCTACATACACATTAGTACGTAGACTGTCATGAAAAGTATTCCTGCATAAATTATTTTTGTTACATACCTTTGACAAAAACTATATAAGGTACTTCTCCCATTACTCTCAAAGTGGATAATTCATGACGCAAAGCCCCTGCAATAGTATTAAGTAGACTTTCTGTTTCTTCATCTGTGGAATTGCCTTTACAAACCCAAAATACATTTACTGTTAAGAAATCTGGAGTAACTCTAACCTGAAACATTTTCCATATCATAATAACTATAATGACTCCATCCATACATTAAAAAAAATCATAGTATAGTATAGCTAGCCTATGTTTTCTTTTAGACTATGTTCTGTAACTGTGCCACATATCATAGATGTCCGTTCCACCTGAACTATCCACCTAAACATTTGCATTTATGATATCAAAGTAAGGTTAATGTTCTATTCAAATTTATTATGAGTCTTTACAAATATAGTTTAAGTTTTGTTAGCTCCATTCTATTTGTATTATATTAATGAATAAGAGTTGTCTCATATTGCATTGAGTATAAGATTGAGCCCTCTCAGGATTAACACTAAGAGTCCCACAGCTCATTTGCTACTTATTATTAAAAACTAAGCGAATGATCACTAAAACACTACATTACAAAGTAATGTTACTCATTTCAATAGAGAAAATCAAAAGAATCAACTTATATGAAGTTCAATTTAAGGAATTTTTTAATTTAATTGCTGCTTTATTTGTACATAATGTAATAAAATTGTAAGTGGCCAGTGTCTGCATGTGGGAAAATTATTAGAAAATGTTTTATACATCCTTTATCATGTTATACTTTTATAATATGAACTATTAGTTATATTCAGATACAATTGTGTGACCTACATACTGTCTGTACATTTAGGGCCTGTCCTACCAAATTCTAAATTGTCTGATAAAAATCCAACATGTAAAATGTATGATGGAAATATCAGATTTTGTTCCCTTATATGACAGTGGAGTGATTTTTAAGTTATCTGAGCCTCTATCAGTCAGTGGTGGGCCCTTAAAATAGTAATTGCTACTGATAAATTAATGGTATGTTTTGGAATACACTGTATGAACTTATTGGCAGTAATTTTACAATTACCTTTGAAATTTCGATGCCTTTGCCAACTATATTGATTGCAACTGTTCCGGTCGACATAATGTCAGTTATGTATTTCATAAACACTTTATTTAAAACTGCTACTCTTCGTATTCCTCGTTTACCAGGTTCATTGTATGTTTTTGTCAAACTTTTGATACTAGGCATTGGATTTGAATCTACTGTGTCCGATGGATACCACTGTCTAAAAAAAATACATGTAATTACAAGATCAATGCAATCATTCAATAAAATACAATAATAAATTGTTTACTTTTTCATTTTAGGGTTAATCATTTTCGTAAGTTTAATGCCTTGTTTTTTTACATTGTATAACGTTGCAGAAACGTGATAAAATCTTCGAAACATCTCAAGATTATCCTTAATTAAACAATTAAAATTGAAATTAATTAATAACAAACATAACCTAAAAGATGTTAGGTAAAAATAACAAGCAAGCTGTCAACAAAAGTCAAGTCAAAGAAGAGATGAGAAATATAAAAATTGGTTGCTTTTTATCTCATCATTAGAATTTTTAATAACCTTTTATTTTAATCAATAGAAAATACATAGGCATTTTACAGCATTATGATTTTCATTTTGGACTCAATTTCAAGCCGAAACCAAAGACAAAGAAAACATTGCTTTGACATTTTTGTTGACATTGACAAGTGATTGCGCGCGTATGCGAAAGGGAGGAGGGAGTTCTGCATTCTTCCCGCCAATGATCTGTCAAAATAGCACGTATTTGGGTTTGGGATAAGTTGATACTGGGGTTTATGTTTTCTTTTATTAGTGTTTAATTACTATATTATCTAACATACAATCATGTCGAAACCCGAGGAAAGTGAGGAAAATTGGATATCTGCGTTAGACAATCTGTGTTCTCAGTTAAATGTTGACCCTGCTGCAGCAGAAAAGTCGAAAAAATCATTTTTAGAAATCAAACGTAATTATACTTTAGATGTAAGTATTTTAAAATTGTAAAACTACTATCATGTGCTAAAATGACAAAATCAGTCTTAGAGATAAGTTATAGAAAGGTATTGTCTGCAGTTGGACACGCACGTAATTCTATTGTTTACGTTGATATTTTTAGGTAATCCTCCAGATTTTGTGACGTAGAATTAATTGATGTAAATCCATTACAGGGGGATATACAACATTGGATGGCGTGTGCATTATATGTAGCCTGCAGGACATCAATCACGCCAACTGTGCAATCTGGCAAGGTCGTGGAAGGCAACTGCGTTAGCCTGACTCGTCTGCTTAGGCTCTGTAACATAAGGTACATTATTAATATTATATACATTTATTACATAAACATTTATATTTAGAACATACATAATCATAGTTATGTTATTACAGTCTTATACAATTTTTTAACAAAATCAAAAACTGGATGGAAATGTCTTTAATGTCTACAGACTTTAAAGACAGAATAACAAGATTGGAGCATAAATTTGCAGTTTCAACTGTACTTTTTCGTAAATTTCTTCCTATTTTTCAAGAAATATTTTCCGGTTTAACAAGTGAACCAACAAAATGCAACTCAAAGAGTAAAAAACAAAAGTAAGTATTATAACAACTATGTGTAAAGTTTTTATCAACAATTAATACTCTAATAATATTGTTTAAGTAATTCTTGTTATGTGATTGACTAAGATGTACTTGTTTTGTATTTTTTTTAAACTGCAGTAGAGTGTAATTTGTAAACTTTGGTATGATAAGGAAATTATGGTGAATGAACTGAGTGTATATACACTTACATACTTTTTTTAAAAATAAGTTAATACATCTTGTACCTTATTTGCTGTTTATTATTCTTATTACTCATGTCTAACCTTATGTAATGTATCATAATGTCTTGACATACTTTTTTCAGATTGCAACCATGTACAACAAATGCCTTATTTGAATTCTCTTGGTGTTTATATGTTTGTGTTAAAGGAGAGTTTCACAACTCAGCAGATGATCTAGTGGACATGTACCATGTATTATTGTCATGTTTAGATTTTGTATTCGGCAATGCATTCATGTCTAGACGAATTGATTTGATAAATCCTGCTTTTAAAGGTAAGATTTCAATCATACTAATATTATAAATGTTAAAGTTTATTGAATGTTTGTTACAATGAATCTCCAGAATTACTCAAGAGACAGTTCTATTAAGATCATTTTCATCATCACAAGATTTCATGCTCTGTATTGAAAACTAATGAAATGGTAAATCCTTATATAAAATTAACTAAGATTTTTAGTTGAACTGATTAAACAATTTCAGTTTTACAAGACCTGTCTGAATAAAGGGCTTTTCCACCAAATTGTAAATTGTCATATAACAATCCAACATGTAAAATATGGGATGGAAATATCAGATTCTGTTACCTTATCTGACAGTGATGTTATTTTTAGCTATCTGAGACTATCAGCCAGTGGGACAGGCCCTAAGTCCTTCAAATATAAAAAAAAGATAAATTTCATCTGAAATATGTGAAGCTAGTAAGTAATGTCTCATATTTTTTAGGTTTACCGCCTGACTGGATGAAAGATGACTTTGAACTTCCTAAAAAAGCACCATGCATTATATCAGTACTCTGTGAGATTAATGAGGGGCTGGCAGTAGAAGCTGCTACAATGAAGGAATACAGCTGGAGGCCTGTTATTAAATCATTTTTTGACAAAGGAGTAAGTTTACTTATGTTTACTGCATGTTTTTTAATTAGCCTGTTTCCATATTTAAAGTCGATATATGTGTGAAAGAATAAATAATAATTCGTTTTTATAACTATAACTAAAGGTATATACAAATATATTTATGCAATGATGTACCTAATACCATTGTTTGCATGTTAATTATTGTCAGGGTTTTTTTACAAGAAGAAGAAAGACATGAAATATGTTATATTATTTTATGCAACTATATTATAGTATTATAAAGAAGAATGATTTGTGTTTTTGTATGTATTGAAATAACTCAAAAACTACTTGGCCTATTTAAAAAAAATTATACTTTCAAGCTACTTTAGCAGTGAAAACATACATATATTTTTTAATTTTACATGGACATAGTCGCAAGCAACAGCTAGTATCTCATAATTGTAAGCTAAACACTTATGACATAATTTACTTGAATCTGTTATTTCTTTCTTATTTGTTTATTGCTATTTTATATGTATGAGTTAAAATCAAAAATCTCTTACTCAATTTTATTTCCATATGATATATAACACATTTCACATATCCCATTCAGATATCTTAACAATGTTAATATTTTCACTTCAGATTCTAAAAGGTAATTCCGATCAACTTACTGGATTACTGGACATTGGAAATTTCGATGCGAATCTGAAATCATTGAACAATTTATATGAAACATATGTATTAAGTGTTGGTGAATTTGATGAGAGGATATTTTTAGGTATGTCTCTTACAAAGAGGTTTTATATTTAAAAAGCCTTATGTTAACATTAAAAAAAAATTAAACATACTTTATTTGTCATTCTTTAAAATAGTTGTCAGTTAAAAATGTCATCATTGATTTCTGTAAAACCTTTATTATTATATTATCTCACTAATGATGGTAAAAATTATTCTTGATCAATATTAGATATATTTAAATTTGTTTGTAATTGAAATAAATAACTTATTACAGGTGAACATGCAAATGAACAAATTGGCACAAAGAAAGTTTCGGGTGAAGAGATATCGCAAGTTATTGCTAGTTTTGGACCGGTAAGTATTTCTTGTTATATGATTATCTGAGACTCGTTTTTTTTTAAACTGCAGTAGAATCAAATTTGTAAACTTTGGCAAAAAAATAAATGATGGTCAATGAATTGATACAAACCTTTAGATTTTATAATATTTATGCTACACTTCACATTTTTATTAAATTTCATTGTCTCATTATTTGATTTAACAAATGTTTGATAATCCATATCTAAATACAATATGAACACCAATGTTCTTAAATCACCAACAAATCACGAAATAAAGAGAACATCTGATCAAAAGTGACATATATTTATCTACCCTCTATTAAAAATATTTGAAATACCAGTGAAATAAAATAATTGAGACAGACTAAAAAACCTTGTTGTAAAGTATTAGATATGCAAGCATCTTTAGATTTTACTAGCTGTTATCAACCAACTTCAATTGCATGAAATTATAAGAACTCTGTTAACATTGGTAAAAGTTTTAATTGCAAATGTAACAATTTGAATGCACAAATATGTATATATAACTGATAATAAGGGTCTTTGTCATTGGCTTACGATCACCATTACCATGTCAAACTTCTTTACTGCGGTGATTTGTAGTTTTTGTCCCTTTCCGGCATGATTTTAACAAATTATACACACCCCTAAATTAAATACCGAGAGAAGATATAGTCTATAGACTGCCGGCCATATTCAAAGTTATGATGATTGTTGACATCCTACATAACGGTGTGTGTTCACGCTTTAGTATGTTAATATAGATAGATGAATCTTTGTGTATTGAACTAAGTGCTACATGTTTTTTTGTTTCATTTTACCTGTATAAAATTCTAACTGTTGTTTGCGACTTAGCCTGTGTGAAATAAAAAAATATGAAATGTAGCTTATGTTACTTATAATGTAGCTTTTTAATGGTGAATGAATTTTTGAATTCGGTCCAGTTGTTTTAGAGTCATTTCAATACATTCAAAAATACAAAAATACAAATCTTTCCTCTTTGTCTTAAATATAAAAGAAAATCGTGTGAGTTACGCTAGTTATAACTCAAGAACAGCTTTACCAAAATGGCTGAAAATATGCGAGGCGGTAGCTTAGAGGAGAAGGACATAGGATACTATTTATTCCCTTCATGGATGGATGTTTCTCTTTCTTGATGAAATTTAGCACAGATATAGAGGATAGTCTGGAAGAACACATAGGCTATTTACTTTTGTTTTTTTTTATTCCACACTGGCGAAACCTAGTAATAAGAGCGCGCCACTCGGTCAATGACCCCGGTCAGCTGTGCGGTTGCAAATTTTTATATGTGTGAGTTATCTACGATTGTTATGTGTTTATGTGTGTTGTGCATAAATGTTATGTGTGACTGTGGCGTGGTCTAGCAAGATGTAGAAGGTTCTCTACATTAGTTTAGATTTACATTGACATTGATTTAAGTATTGTATGTCAGAGCGGGCGCGCGTGCCCGGACACGCCGCTGACGGGGCGCTGCTACCTGGCGGGGCGCGAGGCGCTGACGCCGGTGTCGGAGGCCACCAACAGCCTGGCGCGGCTGGCCGCATACCTCAGGAACACTAAGCCTTTCCCATCACCATCGCTTATGAGATTATTTGCGTGAGTATTTTTATCTTTGAGGTAACAGTGGTGATTTCCCCTAATGAAAATTCTTGATTTGACATATTTTGATAGTTATTTAAAGTAATTGACATTTCATATTTATTATTTATGGCTTATTTTGCGTAATCTTTATTTAATACAAGCTGTTGCTCGTGTTAGCTTTTTAATGGTGAAGTATTTTTGAAATTCACCCAGTAGTTTTTGAGGTATTCCAATACAAATCTTTCCTCCTTATAATACTAGCATAGATATAGTTTAAACTTATTGGGGGAACGACAGTGTCTGCATTTAAGGAAATTATTTAATAATTATCAAGTGCTATTGTCAAATTTAAATAACATCGATTTTATATTTATAATTGTTAAAATCTTAAGCTTTATTAATTTTATATTCAGAATGAACTTTAGTTTAATAAAAAAAAAATGATTTCAGTGAATGTGGTGTGTCGGAAGAGATGATTAATGAGAAAGTGATAAAGCCCTGCAGCGGGTGGGCGGAGCAGTTCTCGCAGGGCTTGCGCGAGAGTAAATGCAGCAATGAGGCGATTACATTTCGTAAAAATATGGTCTTATGCCTTTATTTCAAAGTATTTGAACACATCATCAGAGAAGAGCATAGGAAAAAACCTCAAGTATCCTTACAGGTAATTATTCAGGTTAATATACCTTTTTAATAATTAGGAATATTGGAAGCCAACTTTTTCAAGTCAAATTTAACTATAGAAATACACGGCTTAGATATAATTGAATTTAATTAGCGTTCTATGTGTCTTTCTGGACTAGCCTATGTTACTCACTGGTAACATAGCTTTTTAATGTTGCAATCATTTTTAATATAGGCCTAGTAGTTTTTGAGTTATTTCAATACATACAAAAATACGGATATCCAAATTTTTCTTCTTCATAAAAGAAAGCTACGTTATCGCTGAGTAACATGAGTTATATTAATAATTAGCTGTTCCCGTATGGCTTCGTCCGCATGAAATGGAAAATTCTCAATTGCAAATGTCAAAATTACCATTACCATAATATAGGCAGCTGGTAGTTTATGGTCCCTTTTCCAACTGAAGGTTTTTTTTTATTTATTTCTGTGATCGCTGACATCCTACGCCACGAAGTAGTGTGTGTTTAAGCTTTATTATATTAGTATAGATGTTTCATTTTAGTAAGAAGCCCTACAGTTACGTCACGCTTTAGGCTATATATGTTCACGCTATTAAACTTAGGGGGTAAGTAAATTGCTTAATAACCCTAATGTCGGAAAAGGATCATAAGTTACAAGCTGCCAACATCAAGTAAGCGAGATTGGCATGGTTAGTCATCATGTCATGTCATATTGACATTTGCAAATGATAATTAGACAAATGTAACAAATAAATGTTCATAATTTGATGCGGATGAAGCCGCAGGGGACAGCTGTGAACAGCCAGTGTGTGGTGTGTGCAGATGGTGGTGTCGCAGGCGACGTACCAGGTGACGGTGTTCGCGTGCTGCAGCGAGGTGGTGCTGCACGCGTACGGCGTGCACTCGCTGCGCTTCCCGCGCGTCCTGCACATCCTCGGCCTCAGCGCCTTCCACTTCTACAAGATCATAGAGCTCGTCGTGCAGGCGCTCCTCGACAAGCTCAGCAGGGACGTCATCAAACATCTCAATGCTGTGAGTTGACCCTTCACTTAGAGATCTAAAAATCCTACCTGATGCTAGCGGGGCAACACGTGAGGTGCCAATCTCGTTAGCTTCCTGGTAACATTGCTAATTTCTGCTAGGCATTGACTCTACATATTCTTGTCCTTTTTTCACTGTTATTTTAAGTTCTGAATGGATTAAATGAGTTATTACTTTCTTTTTAAAGTTATTGTCTCTCCGTCTGGCTGGCTTTCATATATAAATAAAATAAAATAAACATATTTTTATTATTATTATGATAACGCCATTTTTAACGATCACGTACCACTCCTTGTTGCCATGTTCGTTGGCACTAACAACCTTAGTAACTCAAATTGTAGTATAGTCTGCAATCAAACTGTACTCGATTTAAGCATTAGAATAATACTTCCAATTGACGACAGGGCACTGAATTAAATAATATGATTTGTGTTTTGTTAGTCAAATGTAAACAGTGATTTGTCTAAACTTAAATACTGTGACGTTCTTAGTCCATAAACAATATTTTAAAAGTATCAATGTGTAGGTGGAAGAGGAGGTATTAGAATCGCTTGTATGGACGTCGGACAGTCCACTGTGGGAGCAGCTCGCCAAGACGCCGGTGCCCGCCTCTACTGAGGTCTATGTTCAGGAGTCACCACTCTTCAGACGGAATATTGGTAAGAATACAATACTTTACTTCAGCTAAATGTTCTTACTAGCTACGGATATCATCAACTTGCCCTTTTCCCTACGAAAGGTCAGCACACTATGTGGTGTTCTTCAACATTCTATCAGCCGTCATATCTAAATCCACTCCTTTCTTAAGCATTGCCTCTTTCACACAATCCATCCATACTCTTTGGTGTTTAACAAAATTTAACCAAATCTATTCGCGTGAATAGTTTTCATATATCTTGGTGGCTTTTAACTTGTGCTTACATAAAACAATATTAGGGGTACGGCAGTAGGGCATTTTTCAGTGTCGATGTTCTTTGAGCCGCTAAGATATTTGAAAACAACTATACTGTTTCAAAAATTCAACTGTAACTGCGTGTCTATTTCTCGCTTTAATGTGTTATTTGTAATTATTTCAGGTGTGATAGATCGTTACCTTTCACCTATAGCGGATCAAGCGAAAAAACAGCTGTTCAAAGACAATATTAAACCTGGCCAGTCACTTCTAGGTAATATTTTAATTTCTTGATTTTGCTGGTAGTAGTATGTGTAATAAGTGATAAAATTAAAATTTCTATTTCCAGTCCAAACAAACACGACGGCGAAACAAGACACAGTGTGTGCTAGTCCCACGTCGAATGGTGATACCACACCCAACTCTACGCCCAAGAAAGCTCACAACTCTTTGATACTCTTCTTTAGAAAGGTAAAAATATAATTAATAAAAAAGTTAATGCAGTTTAGGAATTATACATGATTTTTACTTTATACCTATGTGAAAAGATCTTACGTTTAGTTGGACGAATGGATGTTTGGTAGAGTTTGCCGCCTAAACGCCTGAAAGAATTTCTATGAAATTTGGCATAGATGTAGAGCATAGCTTAGAAAATATGCCATTTACTATTTTATTTTAAATTCCACTCGGAAGGACTTGTAGGCGAAAGCGAAGAAAGAGAATAAAAAAACGAAAAAAGATAAATATCAGCAAGAAAAAAATATATTTTGAAAAGAGGAATTATACTTTAAAAAAAGGTTTTTTTTTTTTTACTTTAAATAGGTAATTATGTCTAATTTCAGTTCTACAGTCTAGCGGTAGTCCGCATGATAGACTTGTGCACTCGGCTGCGGCTCACCGACGAGGAGCTGAAGCGCAAGATCTGGACCTGTCTGGAGTACTCGGTGATGCACCAGACACAGCTGATGAAGGACAGGCATCTTGATCAGATACTCATGTGCGCTGTATATGTTATTTGTAAGGTAAGAATCGATGACACAAAAGGGTAGGCAGAAATTGAATGTCCTTAGGCTTATTACAATTGAGTACAATTGAATGGAATTGAGAAATATTGACATTTTATTGCCGACCAATGTTATTTATTGTCTACTAGTTGTTCCCGTACGGCTTAATGCGCATAATTCTAAATTTCACGCATGACATTTTTGTCAAAATTATTCACCCCCTAAACTCAATAGCGTGGTAATATGTAGGCTATAGTGTGATGTAAGTGTAGGGCGTTTTACTTCATTATTCAAATTGATGATCTAAGTTTTTTCCCCACCATGATTGTTTTATGTACACAATTTTTATTCAAGAATATCTAAAATTTTTTCTTATTATTTTTAACATTATGACTTGTATTTGTATTTGTCGGTTTTAAATCAATCTGTGATTACAGCATTATAGAAATCTTTTATTTTTCATGTTATATTTTCCTTTATTTAATAGTCTACATGTATTCCAGGTATCAAATAATCCTAGTAATCAAGTGGAGAGAACATTCGCGGATATAATGAAGTGTTACAGACAGAGGCCGTTGGCTGACAATCATGTATATAGATCGGTTTTAATTAAACAAAGTACAGGAGATAGTGAGTATATACATTTTATGTATAAATAACTGCCTGTTTAACTTGTTACCGTCAGCGCGGCAGCCCAAAATATATAGAAAATATTCTGTAAAGTAAAACTTATTATTTAACATATTTACAATGTTAATCTCCAAAACTATAAGCGGTCACATCTTATCCATTTTACACTTCTTTTTCTTCTTTTGTTTTTTACTACATCTTTTCTTTAACCAGCCATGTAAAAGTCTCGGTGGCCAGTATGCAACCTCTTTGTTTTGCACTGAACACTCAAACCTCTAAATGAGTAATTATGCTCATGTACCTTGATTATAATTTTGTACAAGTTTATGGAACTATGTATTTGTAAATTATTTTCTTTACTGTGTGTCCAATGTTGTTATAATTTTCTACTTGCGGTTATTCGCCACGAGATGGCGTGCATTTATGAGCACTAATTTCTAGATCGCGATATAGAAGTTCGCGACGAATAACCGACCTCACGCAACGTGTGTTGATTAAATTAACTTCGCTATCACAGAACTCGTGTTTCATTTTGAAACCACCCAGTATTGGCAACGTTCTCCAATGCCGTTGGAGATTTTTGAGGCTGCTTTACACTGTGTGACTTTTGTTTCCAATAAAATTATAACACATGTAATTATTCCAGATTCACCCCAACGAGGAGACTTGATCAATTTCTACAACAAGGTGTATGTGCTGTGCATGCAGAGCTTTGCCCTGAGATTTACTGGCAAACATAAAGATGTAAGATTTCATACTCTTAATTTTTAAACATATTAATACAAATAGAAATGTATTGCGAGTGAACTAAGTGTGCAAATCGGTGGTTATTTCCTTTTGTTCAATTACTAAAAGCTTTTCATTTTACAATGTTTTTTTAATGTACGTTTTATACTAAATGGTCCTTCGAGCCGGATATCTCTTAAAACGTTTTAACGCATCCCACTGACATTTGGCACAGATAGTTTGGAATACCAAAAATATCAACCTTTAGTGGATAGGAAGGAAAAGTGGATTTGGCGGTGGAGAAGACGCATAGGAAGGGGAAATGTCTTTTTTTATGTGCGTCTCCTCCTCCGTCAATTAAGAGTAGACAACGAATCTGCAATTGCGGATGTTTATGGGCAGCGGTCGCTTTCCATTTAGGAGGATTCAGGTGGCCGCTTGCTTGTTTGTCACCTTATACTATAAAAAAAATCGCACAGATGTATTCGCCATCGGCCGGTAGTAAATATGAATGTATAGTTTGTGATGTGTGTACAGGAGTGCGGGCTGTCGCCGCTGCCGGCGGGGCGCGGGGACGCGGCGTGCTCGCCGGCCGGCCAGCGCGTGTCGGAGCGGCACCAGCTGTACGTGAAGCCGCTCACCACGCCGCCGCACACAGACCACCATCTCACGTACCGCTTCAGCCGCAGCCCAGCAAAGGTACAACTACTCTTTGACTACTACTTTATTCCCAAGCGGCTTAATCCACATTAAATTATAATAACTTTATTTTATTGTTTACATTTGTCAAATGTCAAAATTCAAATGCATAATAGACAATTTTGCTTCCTTGATGTTGGCAACATGTAGTTTATGATCTCTTTCCCACATGGAGGTTTCTTTCCAATTTATTTACCCCTAAGTTTAATAGCGTGACAATATACAGCCTAGAGCGTGTCGTAAGGGGTAGGGCTTTTTATTATAGAAAGAATTATTTAAAAATATTCTGTAATCGCTGACATCCTACGCCACAAAGTAGTGTGTGTTTACGCTTTATTATATTAGTATAGATATAGATTTACCAACTACACCGGTTTATGGAGGTGCGCATACTAATTGAATTTAAGTTGTGCAACTAAACATTTGAATTGGCTGCGATGCAATCAACAATCGCACAATAGTTTAGTCAATGATGTACGCCCGCTTTCATGCGATATAGAAATTAAAGGTTAACGCGCATTTGTCAACGACTCTCCGGAACCGCACCGCCTTATGATCTGTTAAGAATAAAGTTACATAATTCTTAGATAAATGGAAGTATACCGTGGTCCGCGAGGACACGTCACTCATTGTCAACTCGGACGGAGCGTTGTTGGCTGAACGAATTGACGAATGCGTATTTACCTCAAAGATACCTTAAATTCATATAAATCAATTAAATTCAAATAATTCTTTCGACAGCTTACATGCTCGGATCTGGCCAAATGTGTGTGTTCTTCAGTATTACAGAATTATACTTTTTAGGATCTGCACGCGATAAACACGTTGGTGTCGTGTGAGGTGGGCGGGGTGAAGCGGTGCGCGGAGGGCGGGGACGTGATAAAGCGGCCGCGCTGCGCCGCGCCCGGCGTCGCGCGCAAGCTGCAGGGGCTCGTCAGCGACCGCCAGGCCGTGTAGGCAGGTAACACACACTACAGTGTACACACATATAATAAATACAACTGTTTTTATGCAATGAACAGAACTATATAACTCTACTTGCTTTCGCCCGCCACTGCTATTGCGTTAAATTTAAAAAAAAAAAAACAAAAGATTGCCGAATTTTACCGAAATCCGTTATGCAGTTATAGCTGCAAACTTATAAATCTGTCGTAACTTGCGAATTTAAAACATTAGTAAGAAATAAAATACGATTCGCCCGCGTGAAATTAAAAAAATATAGTCTATGTTACTCACACATAAATGACCTTTCTAACGGTGAGAGAATTTTAAAAATCGGGTTAGTAGTTTTTATGTAAATCAAGTATAAAAATTCGAAAATACAAATCTTTCCCCTTTATGATAGTATAGATTAAAAATTTAAACCGAGGCACGAATTTTGTATTATAAGTGTTAATGAAATAAAATGTAACAAAATTATTTATATTCCAGGTAAAATGATCACAAGTGCCAGATAGATGGAACACAATGGATTTAATATTGTAGTCATATTTATTTTATATTACCAAAAAAAATATCGCTTGTGCTCTCTAGACGATTTTTAGTTTACGTTTCGAAAAACCTGACGATTAATGAGTTTGTAAAATTAAAATCAATTGTTTGAGTCACAAGGAGTGCGGTCCCGATAGTGACAATAGTAAATTGTACCAGAGTTCTGTGGCTCTATGTTACCGATCAATTATAAATTTGGTCAATTTTTTATCGGACTCTGTATTAACAGTAAAACTATAGGCAAAATCTTGACAATATGACATAAAAAATCAATAACTATAAATAATAGACATATAGCATATATCAAATTTTAAAAAAATGTATAAAATCAGTTTTGATTATGTTTAAAATTGAGTTTTATTGTGTATTAAATTGGGACGGCACAAATAATAAAGTAATATTGATCTCATATTTATGGTGGGTTGTTAATATGCCATATAAAAACTTGCTCATCATTTAAGTATGATATATTTTTGGATATATGGTAGTATGATGCACGAATCTTATAAAAAAGTTACATCTTCAAAGAGATATAACTATGTCCGAAGAAAAAGGTTACATCACAGATAAACCTCTTTGCATTCAATAGAAGGGTCTTATTTAATGCAAATCATTGTGGTCTTTAAATTCAATCTAAATAAAGGCCTGAATTTTTATGTAGCTTGCTCCTTTATTAGAAAATGGAAAATATATTGTTAAGTAATCATTTATTATGTATTTCTTACAAATTATAAGCAAATAAAGCTCTTATTTGTTATGGTTCAAGTTAATGGAACATGTCTTATTTTAAACATACTTGGATATCAATAATTCAATTTAAGTAAATGTTTTCACTAAACTTTTTTCGTTATAATAAAATTAATTTTAATCTGAACGTGTAAAATAAAATATAATTTTGACAATTTTTTCATTTACTATATTTATCTGTAAATAAAATGGACAAGTGTAATACTATTAACGAAAAAAATTAAAAGTAAATTAATAAAAGCCAGCATGTTTTTATACAAGTTTTTGTCAGAGGAAACTCTCGACATGACACTTGACCCATAACATATAATTGACTCACAGTAGCATCTTTATATAAATTAGGATATATGAATAAATGCGTTTTATATGTTTTAGGTACAAGTTACCTTGCGATATGTTCCTCATTTTTTTTTATTTAACTGAATGCCGAATACCATTCAGTTTTGAATATATTTTATTTGCTTCCATTAAATTTTAATTATTTCTTAGTTTTGTTAAGTATTAGAGGTTATTAAAATCAATTTTGTTTAACGTCCAATTAATCATTAAAATTAAATGATTGTATATTTCGCATTTTAACCATTGTATCATGTATTCATTATAGATTTTACCTTAAAATATAATGAAAAATATTACTACTATCAGGTTTTGTCTTTTCATTGTGATATCCGAAATCAAAGTTTTTTTTTTATTTTTAACTTTAAAAAAATAACATCCAGATCATATAAAATTAAACTATTGATAGTTTACATCAATTTATTAAGTAAAATGTATGCTACAGTTGCATAATCAAGTGCATTAAATGTATGCGCTAATAAATATTAATTAAATTCTATGAACTTTCACTTTGAACTTTATTTGTTGCTGTAAATGAAAGCTATAAGCTACAAGTCGATATCGATGCCGAGTATCGCGTGGCGTGCGGGGGGCAGGGCGAGGTGCGCTGGGGGCGGGGCGCAGGGGTAGGGTCAGGTGCTCCGCCCCTTGCCCTCCTTGATGGCGATCACGTAGCGCTGCGCCACGCGCTCCGGCGGAGAGTACCCATCCGCGTACGATGAATCCTAAGAACATTCGTATGGGATTACTGTTTCTAATGGGGTTTTGCTAACACTAAATAAATCAGAAACATATATAATATAGACATGGGCTTTGCCAGCTGATGTTCTGATGGGGCAAGTAGTAAAAAAGCATATTTTCAAGTATATGTTTTACCTCAAAGAGAACTTCGTAAGGGTCAGCGGCAGAGGAGGGCAGTCTGTTGACGACAGCACGGTAGAAGCAGGTGGTTTGCGGGTAGAGCGCCATCACGACCGCGCCCTTGGGGAAGAGCGCCTGCTCGTCGGTGCGCGGGTCTGCGCGCATCAGAGGCAGCGGCACCACGCGCCGCTTGCTCAGCACATGTCGGTTCTTCTGCTCCTCGTCTATGTCGTCCACCTCATACTTACCCTGCGCTGGCAACCAGCTCACCACCTACAAGTTACAAATGTACATTGCAATAACATATAAATGCAGTAAGATTTTTACTTTACCTACATTAAAGACAACAGTAAGATAAATTATGAAGTCATTTATGTACATACTCAAGCACACAGACTAGTTGTTACCTCAGCGAGAATCCAGTTCTCCTCCTTATCGGAGACGCGCACAAGTGCGGCAACGGCATCCCCAGGACGCGCCACGTGCCCTGAATCCGCCGGTAAGGCACCGCACAAAGCGGGCGCACGCTCTCCCACGCGCCCCACGTGCAGCGGCAAAGTCTGGGCTGCACTTAACAGCATCTTCATCAGCGCGCCGCATCCTATCGTCTCCTTATTGCCCGCGTGTCGCGCCTAAATCATTAACATGGTCTAATTCATGCAGTATGAGCTAATTATTAGCCAATTATTTATACCTATAGAGAAAATATACTGAATTACAACTTACTCTTCTGGCAAACCTTTTTAAGCACATTAAAACTCTCAAAAACACACTGAAATGTAAATTTCTTCACATATAACATCATTGGAAAAATATGTGATTGGCTTGAATCTCACCTGAATTCGCCTTTCATTTTTAATTGCCCTTATTTCATATATCTTAGACAAAGCTAAGCGGATAACACGTTCCTCTTGTTCTGCTGCTGTCAGACCAGCCTTGTATAAGTTTTTTAACTGCATCTGCTGTCAATAAAAGTACAACATGAATTCAGAGCATACATATGTTTGTAGAAGGGTAATTAATATTTACTGTAAATAATGTTCTGTGGATAAATTTATATTGGATTACTTGTTGTGAAGATCCTGAAGATTCATCATTAGATGGTGAAGATTCTACTGCCTTTTCCGCTCTGAGGATCTGATCAATGCATTGCTCACTTCTTCCTCTCTCTGCTTCAATATCATAAATGTACCTGTGCAATGATCTCAAACGCTCCTGAAAAATACAAATTAAATACATGTGAATTAAAAAATGCCAAAACTTTGTTACTCCATTCATTGTTGCATAATATCAAAGGACTTGCTTACTTGCACCTGCTGAGCGGCAACATCTGCAGTGAGAGGCATCTCTCAATTTAATTCTCTAGACAATTTCCAGCTCAGGTAAATTACGTGATACCATGAACAGCACACAAACACCTGTAAAATATTATATTGAGAAAGCTGTTTATTAAAACGAAAAATTACACAATTTTAAATTCAACGTATAATTTGAAAATAGTTAGTAAAAAGATAATCCTTGGAAACTGAAATTATAAGAACAATTTTCCATATTTGTAATGAAATTACAGTTTATTAATCCCACTATGGATTAACGATTGAACATTGATAATTATTGAAATCGTCGTTTTCATTTTCATAATAAAAGAGCTATTTTTTTTTACAAGTTACAATTAAAGGAAAAATCGATGTTATTAAATACTAACAAAAACAACTATTTGATACCACGAAACACGAGGTGACATAACAGTAATTAGCTAAAATGAAAACGTTTATTTGATAATTTAAAAAATAAAAATTGATTGCTGTTAGTTATGTAGTATGTACCAAAATCTAAAATTTTAAAATCACTTGATTACACTAGTCCAGCGAAGAATGCCTAGAACCACAACAAATAAATGTCAGTTTCATTTGTCAAAGTCAGTGTAATGTCAAAATCCAAAAAAAAATCTGCGATAGAAAATAGAAAAACATAGATACAGAATTTAGCACGGTTTTCCTTGTGACAAATGACTCAAAAGATTTCCAAAAATAAAAACTTAAATTAACATAAAAGTGCCCATATTTTGGTTTAAAACAACAAATACAGCTATTGTATTTTTAGGGGGGCACTTAAGAAGCATTCTTTGAAATGGGATTGTTTGGTTGAAGCATAAACAATGCTAGTACTTTTACATCCAAAATCCAAATTGACATTTTTGAAATGTCATAATGTTTGGTGTTTGAAAATTTTGTGAAATAAATCTAAAAATATTACGTTAATATCAAGACTTTTAACTAATTTGGAGTTAGATTGTTGAAATATCCTACTGGTTGTAGTTTGTGCTGAAAATATTTTATAAGTAGGTCAATTGATTGTTAGCGAATTGGTTACCGGTACGTCAGAGAGCTTCGTAATCATAAGTTGTTGGCGGAATTTAGTTATTTGTGAATTTATATAATAACCTAAGATAGAGGTTATATGTGCAGTGTTTACTTTAAATCCGTTGAGAAAGAATTGCATGATAAGTGTAAGTGGATATGGCAGAAAATGACGATTATTTAGAGTCCATTGACAATAATCATTTGGACGGAACCAACGGTTCATTAAACATGACCGACAACAGCCTCGGTGTAAGTATTTCATTTAAGATTTAATTGTATCTATCTTTATCTAAACTATACCCGCTTTTAAACAAAACATGATTGTTTACATATCAGTTGCATCTTGTTTGGGTCTACTTGTGTATACGGCGTTCTAAAACAAATTACTGTTTGCATATTTTGAAAGTATAAAATACCACGATATATAAATGAGACCAACTTTAATTGATAAGGTGTTTAAGAGAAACCTAAACAAGGAATTGTTAACACTCTTGTAACATTTCTGTTAACTAACATTCTATATGCAATGGCTCTTATTACGAGTATTTGATAATACTTGTTTCATTTTTTAAATAAATCTTTTACAGTTAAATAGGTAGCAACTTTGTGGTATTTTAATATAATTGGAATAAAATAAGAAATTACCAGTTTTTATCTAATTCCTTACTAAATTTACTATTGTGCAAACAAATACTGGTATATTAAATGGTACCTTTCTTAAATATTTATTTACATTCATATAATATCAAGGTAATTTGGTCTTTTTTGTCTGTTCTAACACCTGAATGACAAATATTTTAAGAAGCTTACAACCTTTACAATAATACATTGGAATAAACAAATTGTGGTTAAAACAAATTTGATTGATACAACATTTTTTATTTCAAGGCAGGAGATGATGTATCTGGTGTGGATGTACCTGACCTAGCTGCTATTAAAGCTAGAGTTCGTGAAATGGAAGAAGAAGCTGAGAAATTGAAACAGATGCAAACAGAAGTTGACAAACAAATGAGCATGGGTAGCCCGCCTGGACTTAGTAAGCCTTAAACCTTGTCATACACGGTAATCATGCTACACCTATAATGGTTATAGCATGACCACTTTGTTGTCTAAATGTGTAAACAATATTATTTTATAACTTAATCCAAAATGTATATTAGAAATCATAAAATTGAACATTGGTGATGTCAGGGGGAGGTAGGGGAGACAGCTGTCCTTATAGGACCCAAAAGAATAAAAAAACATGATCTACCATAGATACAAAAACTACTTTGATTAAACAAAGTAGTTGTCACCCCCCAGTCAGATCAATGGCTGGCTACACCTATGTACACCACACTATGTAAATGCACACTATGTATACCAATTTGAATAGAGTTTATTTCTAAGAGAAGACAATATAAGTATATTAAATCTATCAAAGTTATAAATAAACAATAGCTCAGTGTGGCAAGTACTTGCTTCATTGCCTTCTCCCTTCTGTTAAAGAACTGTGATATCTATGGCTTTGTGCACCTCAAGATATTGCTTTGTAGAAATTGATATTTTTTATTTAGCTGTTGTTTTTATTCAGTTATTCTTTTAGATAAATGTTATCTTAGACCCTTTATACACAAGCTGATGTAAGTTTTCAAATCTACCTATATTAGTTACTAACATGCTTGCAATCTGTTTGTCATGATTGTCATGAGAAATATTGCGATTTTAAATATGGTAGAGCAAATATATACAGTTAACTATGAAAAGACAACTTATGTCCTCAACTTATTACTGTGTCAACACAATACTTGCAACGCAAGGATACAAAATTGGTTTTAAAGTTTTACATTACCTTGTGTATTTTATTCCTTATTTTAAGTCGAGTTGCAACTCACCTTTTGAGTGCACTTAAAGCAAAAAGTAGTGGCATGAATTTTATAATTCCATTTATCTTCAACAATTTTAAAGTATTTGTTTTTAATTTTCAGCGAGTCCATTAAACATGTCTATAGAAGAAAAAATAGAAGCAGACAATAGATCAGTTTATGTTGGCAATGTGGATTACGGAGCAACAGCTGAAGAATTGGAACAACACTTCCATGGTTGTGGTTCGATTAACAGGTAATTTTTTTTTTATTGTAAACCATTTATTAATTTTCTTTTAATACCCGTAATCATTATTTAAGATCAACAAGGTAAATATACTAATAATGCTAACTGAACTTTCTCAAATAAGTAAATTACCCGCTGTTCCCATTCCTATAATTTGCATGAAATTATAAAAAAATATTTTATTGTTTGTATTTTTGAAATTTCTAAATTATTATGTCAAAATTCAAATGCACAAATGATTTTGAACGCATGTGACCATGGCTACCTTGCTTTGATATCAGCTTCTATAGTTTTTGTCCCTTTCCTGCATGGTTTTTTTTCTAAATTATTTACTCCCTAAGTTTAATAGTGTGAAAATGTGTAGGCTAGTGTGTCGTTAGCGTAGAGCTTTTTATTAAAAAAAGGTTTATTCAAAAATATACTGTGATTGCTGACATCCTGCATGACTAAGTAGTGTTTGTTTACACTTTTTTATGTTAGTAAAGAAGATGATAGATATAGATGTAAAATCTTTTTACTGTCTTCTTGGTTTTACTGCTATATTCAGCTTGTAATAAGATCTGTAATGACATCTTATTCATGGATTATTAATTTATGAATAATGGTAATTTTTCAGGGTGACAATATTATGTAATAAGTTTGACGGCCACCCCAAAGGCTTCGCTTATATTGAATTTGGGGACAAAGACAGCGTACAAACTGCTATGGCTATGGACGAGTCTTTATTTAGAGGTCGCCAAATAAAGGTAATATTTTTTTACTATAACAAAAGCATATTTAGAAACTCATGTCATGTTACTGATAATAAAGTTTCTAGAACAAATTATTGTGTCTGCAAGTGTGAAAATCAACATTTTAATAAAATATATAGATATAACAGTTTTCAAATTATATGTAGGTCTTAACTCATAATCATTAATTAATTAATTTAATTCATGTATTTAACTAATAATGCATGGAGAAAAAAATGGGCTCCATGTTTGCTTTTACTGCTTTCTATATGGAAACCTGCTACAGGTAAGTGATACATGATTCTTGTAGCAATGATTTAAATCTCTTTTTCAAATTGTTTTACACATTTGTACATCATGGCATATAATTTAGCACATTGAGCCCAAAGTCTCAACTGTTTGGAGTATGACATAATTTATAGAGACCACAGAAAAAATGTCTCGCACAAGCTAGAACGAACGAAATAAAAGACGTGTGTAATTACAAGATGTAAAATCTAATATACAATAATATATGGTACTTCCAATCTAATTATTTACATGTATTTACTACATTACACTACTTAGAGCAGTATTCCTTATTTAGCAGAGTCCTAAAGGCTAGTTCACACTTATCTAGTAATTTAGTTGAGATCTGAGAAATTTAGTGATATTACTCTCTACTGCCCAAAAATCGTTGACTGTTACTGTACACATAAGAAAAAGATGCTTTATAATATCAACATTTACTAATTAAACTAAAACAACAGGTTCTGACTTGTAAAGTAACTTAGCAAGTAAGCAGTAGCGAGTGGTGTTGCCACTAGTCCCAGAAAAAAAGTGAATTAACATGACAAAATGATTTGCTAATTTACTCTACTAATTTTTCATTGTTCAGACATATTTAGTAATCAAATCGCTCTGTATTCAACTAAATTAGTAGCTTAATGTGAACTAGCCTTTAAATGTAACGAAACATTTGTGAAATATTAATGAAGAGTTTTGGTATCGCAGGTCATGCCAAAGCGCACCAACAAGCCGGGGCTGTCGTCGACGAACCGGCCGCCGCGGTCGATGCGCGGCCGCGGCCGCTCCTTCCGCGGCGGCTTCAACTCGTACCTGGCGGTGTACCGGCCCATCCGCCGCGGCAGGTACCAACCATATTAAACTGATTGTCCCACAGCCTTATTCATGTCGCACCTCGACGACACTGTCTCTACGTTGTAAAGCTGTAGCTATGCCACACTAGACAATAGTTTACACTGTTAGAATGTAAATCTTAAATACGTCCATTGTTACGGCAGATTTTATAAGTACAATTCTCATGGATAAGGCTGATTCTTAGTCTTGGATTGCATTTGTCTGTGGAAGAAATATTTATATACAGTTTTACAGTTTTTAAATAAAGTTGATATAACGTTATATGTATTTTTAATTTATTGTATATATATCCTTCCTTCCCTTTGCCGAGCGGGGCCCGCATCACGGTCGTGGTTAAGCTTCGAGTTGTATTTCGCTAACGAGTTTGTGCAAGGCGAGGAGAGCTTAGCTGCGGCCGGCCGCGGCTTGCATGCAGCTGCTGTTGTGTAGTTAGTGTTTGTAGCGGTGCTAATGTCGGCCGTTGTTCGCAGAGGGTACAGGCGCGGCATGTATTACTCCCCGTACTGAGTGCGGTAAACGGGGCCTCCGCCCCGGCCCCGGCCGCAGCCGCGCCGCGCGATACCCTCGCGAGTGTGTGCGGTGTAGCTAACTTAGTGTACCGACTGGCGGCCACCTTCGGTGTCGTCAACGGATCGCCAATGGATTCTGACTCCACTTTAGTTTATAAAAAATATACTTTTGGGTAAGAGGTCATGTTATCCCGGTGGGGCTGCACAGTGACGTTTGTCTGTGGATTGCTAATTGAACAGTTTATTGTCATGTGGTTGTAGACGAGATGTGACGATGGATCGTTCAGTGTGTGCCGTTTTGTTGTATGGATTGATGACTAAATATAAAAATTAAGCTATGTCCTCCTGATTTTAGTGTTAAGTGTCGTATTCTTATTCAATTAAAATTTGCGATGATTTTTATGATTAATTGTAATATGAGCCGTTTGCGGTATTCTAGATGGTAGTTATTCGAATGTTTGTAATAGAAGCGTTTATTTTTTCAAATAGCAAACACATAGAATGCAAAAAAAAAAAGTTTTTAAAAACACAATTATAAATAATGTTAAATAATGCTAGCTATATGAGTTCGATCTTTTAAACCGAGCGTAAGGACGGGCGTTGTTGTATTTCACAATAGTTACTATGCTTGGACAATAACATAACACCTGAGGCAGATGACGTCGTGAAGTTATCTAACGAAACTAACAACCATAGTAATGCTTCGTCGCTTGCTATACCAACAAATTCTCACGCGGGGTGGTATGTTATTGCGCATGTCTAGTTCTTAAAAACAATTATTGACTAGTAATTCCTTCAAAACATTAATATAAATTTTCTGCCAATTCAATAATTCCTTCTGAAGCGCTCAGTTTATATACAAGCTCTTATGATATATATTGAAATATAGGTAGCAGATAAATATAGTTTTAAAATTTAATTTTTTCCTGACTGATTTACATACTATGACATAATTATTTTTAAAGTGAAAAAATGCAGATCTTTAAATTTTTATGTGAATTTAATGATTTTATGATACCAGTTGATTATAAAAAATAACTCGAGATTTGTGTTATCAAAATAAGAACAGTATTTTGTTAAACGATGTTGTGTGGAGCTACCGTACATAAACAAACAGAACCACTTTATTCCTAATGTTGTAAAAACTTGGCTATTATCGGTACGTATAAGATTGTTACTAAATCAGTTATGTAAAGTGGTAAATTGTGGCTCTGTACAATCGTCAAAATAATTTGTATAATTTGAAATTCTGTTTCTATGAAATGAATTATGAAAATTGTCTTAAATTTATATTTGTAATGATTAAAAATACAATGTATTCTTTGTTTGTATACGCAGTTGGATATTTACTGCGTAGTTTGATGCTTTAAAAAGATAATTTAATGCACTATCAAAATGAAAATGACAAAGTAAGAAGTTGAAAAGTGTTTGCCAGATAAGAAATAATTTTAAGATGAACCTGTGTTTTATTTGAAAAATCCTTTAAAATTACGTAAATGATACAAGAAATCATCTGCTTCAAAACCTATAAAAACATTCCTATATAAAGATATATCTTTTGTCAAAGTTTAACAAGTTTAGGGTATAATATGTGAAATAGCAAAGAAACTACTGCTTGCGCAGGAAACAATGCTGATTTCCTCATACAAATAAGTCTGTTATCTACTAATTAATTTTAAAAGTGGCCAAATTTAATCAGGAGATTTAAAAAAATCAATCCCTTTTCCATTGTTTGCATTTCGATACAAGTTATATACGCTTGACATACATTTGTATTGAATTTTTTTGTGGAAAATAATTATTTACAACATAAATTTTTCGTGTAGTTGTAAAAACCCACTTCGTAGGCTGCAATAAAATTAAACATATTTTGGTTGGAAATTACCGAATGGTCAAAAAGCCTTTATCTATCGAAAAAAACCAAAAGAAAATGTCAATGTCAAATTTGACATTGAAAGGATAAACATTAAGCTATTGTCAAAATTGTTTTAAAAGAATCATAATTTAATTCGGATATAAACAAAATATTTTAGCAAGTTTGTATTAGCATCATGTCACTTATGGGCCCCGAATTTTTTAATTTTATAAAGAAGTTAGAAGAAAATGATGACAAACTGACATCGGTTACTCCACAGCAAGAGCCGCTTGACTTTGAATACAATGTAAATTGAAATGTTGTTGATAAAACGATGAATTTAAAAAAAAACTTTTAGTTCTAACTTATTTACTTGTTTTAGAATTCAAGTTGTTACGTCTGCAATGGCTACTACGGCCCTAGCTTTGGTGAACCCGTATGCGTTACTTGCCATGCTTTTCTCTTTCCTGACTTTCCGTCATATCTACCAAGCTCCTATTTCTGCAGCGAAAAAACCGATGACGGTGATTCCGGAAATGATGAGCCTTCTGATCTGAACTTCCAGTTAGATCGCAGGCTAAACAGAGTTTGTGGTTTTCCTTCTTGGTGTTATAGAGTGAGTATGGTTTTAATTTACTTGATCTTAAAAGTATTAGTTCTTTGAGGATATAGTAAGTAATGTATGGAAATGTAAGTATATAATATAATATTTGGCTGTAGTACAGTTGAACCTGCTTCGGCAAGATAAATATCATGATTCCTTGAACTCTTGTTTATCTAGATTCAACTGTAGTTGGTAGAAATATTCCACTTCATATTATTTAGTATTTTTTGAGTATATAAGAATGTCAATATGTGTTTGACAAATGCATAAACAATGTTTTGAAATTATAAATATTTCAGAATTCATTAGATAGTGAGACAAGCCCTGAAGATGAAACTAGTCGCACAAGTACCTCCGGACCTGGAGCTAGCAGGAGCATCAGTGAAGGCAGTGGTTCAGGGTTGCCTCTAGGCCCTATTGACATAGCGCCAAGAGCCCCGCCCCCACAGCCGCCTAGCTTGGCTCGCTCCCTGCAAGCTTTATCAACTCCGAGGCTGCCAGATAATTTAGCTCCAGGATTAGTAGAGCATTTGCCTTCTGAAGGCAAGTAATTTTTTTTTTCTTTTAAAATGTTTAAACTGATTTGATTTGAAGTCAAAGTGAAGTTGTTTTCAGATATCTTGATGTATCTAAACTTCTTGTGAGTCACACAAAACACAATTTGCAAACTTAGGTGCAGCATGGTATTGCAAGATGCGGGGAGAGGGCACTGTGTAGTGCACAAATGATATTAGGATGCTAAGATATTAAAAAAGATTTAAAATGTGCAATTTTATTCTAGACTATGTCTCTATGACACTAAGCTAAGTTTATTTCACTCTAAAATTGATTATTACTATTGGCGTGAAATTGTGTAGTGCTGCTGTGCATCTTCAGTTACTTGGACGACTTGTCGCTGTGCGCGTGCGCGTGCGTGTGTGCGCGCTGGTGGCGGCTGGTGCGCGCGCACGTGCCGCCGCCGCGCTGGGCCGCGTTCACCACGCGCCGCTGGCCGCTCTTCCGACCATTGCTGCCCAACCTTGACTGGCATAAAGTATGTTTTTATATAATAACTACAATAAATTGTATACAGTATTCGATTAGACATGTCGCAAACAACAAGAGTATTTTGGATTAGTATATTGTTGAAGTATACTTTTTATTGATACGTGTATTTTAAAAAAGAATTATGTAACAAATTAAATTAAAAGCATATAATAATTTTAGTTTGAATTTTTATTTATGATTAAGCCGAATATTGATAATTTTTAGTTGTTCTCTATATCCTTATGTTCTGTCACTATGATAACTGCCTATTAAGTATGGCATTAAATATCATACATATTTTATTAAATACTTTATATGCGTGATTTATAAAAGTAATCAACTTTACTTAGACAAACTATACTGATGGTTTTTATTTTATTGTAGAAATATCAAGCGTTGGTAGATTCATGCTTCTGCCGGCACTGCCTGGTGCAGATGTCGGTGTTAGCGCAGCCCGTCGGCGACGAGAACGCTTGGCGCAGGAACAGGTTGCGAACTGAGTCTAAGGTATTTACATTTAAATCATTATCTGTTTTTTGTTAATAATGATAATTTTTACTTAAAAGCTAAATTAATAAAATGGTTGATTGATTAATGTATGTATATTAGATGATGCGCAACGACCCTCCAGAGGGCATCGCAGCGGCTCCACTGGACGGCAAGTGCTGCCACTGGCAAGCCAGCGTCACCGGGCCAGTAGACTCTCCCTACGAGGGTGGCGTCTTCTACCTCTACATACAAGTACCCTACTCGTGAGTAACACCATTGTGTCACTAACTAGCTGTTGCTCCCGACTTTGTTGCGTGAAATTAAAAAATAATAAGAAAAATTGTCTTTGTTAACCCACTGATAATGTAGGTTTTTAACCCTTTTCTTGTTAGTGTATCTTTAGAGATACATCAATTTTTTTTTTCTAAACACCTTGGGTCATCAAGGCTAAGTGCTATGAATATTATTTTGATATTCGAAAAAATAAAATTCCGCCAAGTTAAGGGTTGCTGAAAGAATTTTTGAAATCGACCCAGTAGTTTTTGAGTTATTACAATACATACAAAAATACAAATCTTTCCTCTTTATAAGATTAGTATAGATTTGTGTTAACTGAGTCAATGTAATATATTGAAATATAAACACTAAGGAACTATTCACAGAGACTAACATTGAACAGAGCAAATTTATACCAAATTAATTTAACTGAAATTATACTTTCTATTGATTAGAAATGCAAATTAAAATTAACCCTTATTCCAATTGTATAGAGCCCATTTTTATTTGCTCAACTCATCCATTATTGCTATAGAAAATAAATTGAACTATATATAATGATATGGTCGTAGTTACCCGATGAACCCGCCGGTGGTGCGGTTCCTGACGCGCATCCTGCACCCCAACGTGTCGCGGCACGGCGACGTCGGCATCGACTCCGTGCACCACAACTGGTCGCTCGCACTCACCATCGGGAAGGTCCTCATCTCCATACAGAGCCTGCTCACAGACCCTTACACTACGGTCAGTATACAACACATACTTTGACAATTACACTGCTTTTAGTGAAAATTTGAATTGAATTTTGTGTCCTTGTGCGCTCGCTGGATTTTTTTTTATAACATAAGATGGCAAACGAGCAAGCGACCACCTGAAACCACCAAAATGGCGAAGCGACCGCTGCCCATAGACATCTGCAATTGCAGATGCGTTGCCTACCCTTATCCGACGGAGGAGGAGACGCACATAAAGAGGATATTTCCTTCCTATGCATCTCCTCCATCGTCGAATCCACTTCCCCTTCCCATCCTCTCATAAGAATAGGGTGGTAGAGGAAGGGACTTAAATTAGGCCTCCGGCACCACACACATCAGACGAAACACGGCATTGATTAAATTAAAAAAAAATTATTGACCCTAGAGGGTTCAGGAGAGGGAAACTAGGAGGTTTATGTCAATTTTAGTTTCAGTGAAAACAAGCAATAGCTTTATAGCCTCTAATAATTTATTAGAAAAAGGGTATAAAAGTATATTTTTAATCTATAGTAATGAAAAGGAAATATTTGTATTTTTGTATGTATTGAACTCAAAAACTACTGGGACAATTTTAAAAACATCTTCACCATTAAAAGCTATGGTATCATTGAGTAATATAGGCTGGGTTTTATACTATTTCATTTGACGCGAACTAATTTGCAAGCAAAATTTAATCTATTTTAATATTATAAATTTGGATTTTTCGATTTTTGTATGTATTTTATTAACGCAAAAACTACTGAGCCGATTTTAAAAATCCTTTCACGAATAGAAAGATAATTTATCTGTGGGTAATAATTTTATAAATGAACCCAGGTATGTATGGAGCCGGAGTTAGGTGAGATGTATGTCCGCGACCGCGCTCGCTTCGAGAGCCTCGCGCGCCGCTGGACGTGGCGCTACGCCATGCACGACATACTGCCCAACTGAACACAACGCTATTGCATACTAATCATACTTCATACTATCTTACAAATATTATAAATGTGAAAGTTTAGATGGATGGATGGATGTTTGTTAGAGTTTCTAGCCTAAACGGCTGAACGGATTTCGATGAGATTTGGTCTGGAAGAACACATAGGCTACTCACTTTTTTTAAAAAATTCCACTCGGATGGAATCGCGGGCGAAAGCTAAGATATATTGTGCGTCGACACAAATACTATTATACTAAGGGAAGTTTTCATATGTTTAGAGCGCACACATGTCACTAAACAATCGCACAACAGTTGTGCGATTTTTTTGCAGCCAATTCAACTATTTAGATGCACAACTAAAATATCGAATAGTGAAAATCATAGGAATCAAAGCGCGAGTAATAATTGTTGTGCGATAGTTTAGTCAAATGTGCGCGCGCGCTTTTAAAGTCAATGTAACTGTGGTATTTCATTGTAGTTGTATTGACATATATTTGTCTCTGATTTTCTCAAAAAGAATCATAGGGACAGCATTATTGTAATACTTGTAAAGACAAAGGTCTCTTGACATTAAAAAAATGTGTCGTTTGGCGAATTGCAGATGTATTAAATACGAAGTAAATACACGTGTTTTGTATAGAGAAGATAATAGATCTCACAGCGATGCTTTAATTATTTTAGCTTGGCAATGTTGCTATATTTTTCAAATTACCAATTTCTAAGTTACAATGTAAATATTGTAACAGCTCATTGTCGCTGTTTTATTCCAATTAGTACTAAGTAACGAATTTGTATAACAATTTTATGTAATCAATAAAGTATATTTTAAAAATGTGTTTTGTTTTTAGTGGACGTAAAATTATAAAAATAAAATTAAAACGTGGATTTGTAATATACTGCAGTTTAAAAATTAAAAAAAAAAGATATTTTTAGCTATTTCATTTATGTTCATTAGACATGGATTTATACAGCAACACCTTTAAGTTTTGATTTAGTATCGTTTATTTTAGTCCATATTTCCAATAAAGTTTTGCAATTACATAGTATTGGTAAACAAGCTCCGCTGCCCGGAGCCCTGCAGTAGCCTGGGAAAGGCGCTTCGCCCTTTTGCAACCATCTCCTTGTTTGAAACAGCAAAGGATTTGAAGACGTATCGACAAAATCACGAAAGTCTATTTTGTAAACTTTGGATTGTAATTTCAAACTTCCGGGAATAAAATAGTTAACATAAATAATTGTAAGATATGACTGAAAAAAAATGATGTACACAAATTATTATTTCTAGTATTTCTATATATTTACTAAAATGTTACCTTTGTGCAAAGACCCAATAAAAATCTTTACCTCCGATTGATTGACGTGTATGTACATTTCCACGTTAGGTTTATGAATGTATTTGATCACAAAATATCATTTCACGGTCAAAGCAAATCGTAATTGAGCGTAAATCTGTTAATTAAGCTAGTCTTACATGCTTAATTTTTTATAGAATAGAAGTTTAATATGAGCTAAGTTATAATCTCCTTGTGTTAGTGAAATTTATTTTTATTGGCTAATTAAAGGAAATTAACCTTCATTGTTAAACACAGCAATAACCTCCTGGCTCCTCGTTCTAATTTATGATGAAAATTGTACATTCTTTTTGTTTTTTAAACCAATATCAAATCTGACAAAGGAATAAAACACTTCAACAATATCAGCAAATTTAAATTGAAGCACTTAAAACTGATTTCAATGACGTCATTAGGATTATTACAAAAATAAAGAAATGTTTTTTCGAAATTTATTTTATTTGGAATTGGAAATGTACATTGGCAATAAAGTGAAAGACGCGTGAAAAATGTTACTTGTGTTATTTAAGTTACACTTATGGTGAATTAGAAATATCCATGTTGTCTGGAGAATTCTTTTCATCTGTCAAATCCTGAAGTTTGGATTCATTTAAGGTTACTTTTTCTTCTGGAACAGGGAGAAGAGGCGTTTGGTCCCTAGACTTCCTTTCATGAGGCGTCTTGGAGTCCCTGTGGGAGCGGCTCTTGGAGCGACGGCTGCGAGAGCGCGACCGCTTCCTGTCCCGCGAACGGGAACGCTTGCGGTCCCTCGACCTCGTTCGCTTCCTATCTCTAGACCGCGACTTCTTCCTATCTCTGGATCTGGACCGTTTACGATCCCTTGATCTAGATTTCTTTCTATCCCTAGACCGAGACCGTTTCCTGTCTTTTGATCTTGACCTCCTTCGTGATTTCGATCGTTTTCTTCTAGATCGCGATCGAGATCTTCGCTTGGATCGTGATCGGTCGCGTTTTTTCTCTCGAGATCTTGAACGATCTCGCCTTTTGGACGGGGACTTATCTTTATCCTTTTCCTTCTTGTCTTCTTTATCCTTCTCCTTTTTATCTTTATCTCTTTCTTTGTCCTTATCTTTTTTCTTATCCTTTTCAGGTTCTTCTTCCTTATCATCTATTGGTGTTGAAGCTTTTGATTTGGTTTCAGATTCGGGCCGGCCATTGGTTTCAGCCATGACTTCTGCCTTGGTTTCATCCTTTTCAGTTTTATCTTTTTCCTTATCATTTTTTTCGATATCTCGAGTAGGAGACTTAGATTTGTCCTTCTTATCTTTATCTCTTTCACTGGAACTCTTTTTATCCTTGTCTTTGCGGTCACGGGACCTGTCGCGTTTGGATCGCGAGGAGCGATGACGTGACCTAGAGCGAGACACGCGGGAACTGCGCTGGCGGGACCGTGACCTGCAACAAAATGGACAAAAATTTGAATGACTATTTTCCAGTAGTGGTAACTTAGCAGTTAATTAAATTAGTAGGGTTGTGTTACCTGGTGCGGTGCGCGTGTCGTGAGCGGGAGCGTCGCGAGCGGTGTCTGGAGCGGGAGCGCGAGCGCTTGCTGCGGTGCCGGGACCGCGAGCGAGACCGCCGCGACCGCGACCGCCGTCTGGACCGCGACCGAGACCGCGTCCTACACAAATACGCATAATGTACCAACGAAATGTAAAAGGTAATCTTATTACTAAAGAGCTAATACACATTGGGTGCACACACTAAAGTAGCATGTTTGCATCCCTAAAAAAACTTGAGTGATTTAAAGGGATTTGTGGCCGGCGCAACGTTAACGTGAATAAAGAAGTTTAAATCACACACCCTAATGAAGAACCCCTAATGGGTCCCAAACCAGTCAATGCCTACACTGAAGGTGTTATATGTGTGGAGCCCTGTTTGCTAATTAAAAAGGTAATTATATGTGTCCAAAAACAAGCCTGTATGCACACTTCACCAAGTTGAGGTGACTCACTTTTATGCTGACATACTAACCTCTTATAAATCTATTGCCATCCCTGTAATTTTATATAAAAAAAATGTAAAGATATATTTTCTTTTGAGTGTTTCCGTAGTCAAACCTCAAAGTCAGATAAATTTGATTACAAACATTGACGTTAATAGTAAATTAACATAACAATGCAAATAAAAATCATGAATAAAGGTATATTCAAAATTTTATATTTTTTTTAACATACCTTCTCTTATCCTTTGATAGGAGTCCGATCACTGGGTCAATGGCAGCTGAAATGTAGTTCTGAGCTTCCTTCACCCGGCACATGGCTTCTTCTATCTCTCTCTGGGCAGCCTCGTTGCTCTTTGTTTGTGGCTTACAAATAGCTTGGGTTGCGTGATGTACCTGTATGATATAAGCTGTGATTAACTTGACCAAAGTATTGTTTTTTTTTTTAATAAAAGGGGGCAAACGAGCAGCGTGAACACCAAGGTGGTCAACAACGCCCATGGACATCCACAACACCAGAGGAACTACAGATGTGTAACTGTTACTAAGTTAGCTATTATTGCGAACTCACAGGACTTGTACATTTACCTTATGATATAAAAAAAAGGTTTACAAGAGTTTAAAAACATCTAGAGCACTTTACCAATCATGAGCTACACGGAATATATGACTGGATAGTTTCTTTAATGTCCTTAGATAACAATTTATTGCTACTTAATGAGATTAGAGAGAGAGAATAGTTAAATCTAGGTCTATAGAACATTTTACTGAAGATGTGAGAAACTTAAGTATTGATATGATATTTTATGTTGTTATGAGCGCATTTCAAAACTTTACCAACCTTAATAGTCTGTCCCTCAATAGTGCTTCCATTTAACTGCAAAGCCTTAATAACACACTCCTGTTCAGTCATTTCAACTAGTGCATACTTAAGATTGTCTGCTTCTCTTTCACAAAATCTTAGATAACAAACTTCTCCAGCTTGTGTAAAATGATCAATCAATTGCTGTTGCGTTAATTCACCTACATCTATAACAAGTAATGTTCTCCTTATCTCTTCAATTTTTCTGGAATCATAAGCTGCGGGAAGAGGTGGATATCCTGGAACTCCCGCCGCTATCATTTTAGGGTCATAACTTTGGATAACTTGATTAGGAGGAACACCTTCTAAGGTGTTCACCACATGTGACGGTAATCTTGGCTCTACAGTACTCAAGCCAGGCACTAGTGTCCCATTGCTTGACATCTCAAGTGCTTTATGCTCATCTGGTATTTCACCTGACTGCATGGGTATCACAATTAATGCACGGTCAATAAAGACCGTGTTAGTCATATGTTGAGCCACATTTACAGTAGCAGAGTCATAGTACTTCACATAACATATACGGGATTGGACAGGACACGACACATCTCTAATCGTTGGATATAGTCTTATATCATCAATTTTACCCAGGTAACCAAACAGTGTTTGCATTTGATCCTTCGTCGCTTGTGGCGCGATATTGGTGACTTGAATCACCCTCGTCGTCCCAGAAACCATCTTTGGGGATTTACACATAGGAATAGTAAATTACGGTCTAAGAATTAACACTTCTGATGGATTTAAAAACTGCATTTCACTTACAAACATCATAACGCTCGTTGTACAATGTAAAACATATAAAGAAAGAATATTCAAGAAAACCACGCTTGAAATCGACGCATTACATCGCACATGCAGATTAAAAATAAAATTTAGGAAGCGTCAGTGTCACTTGTCACTCGTGTCACTTGAACATTAGACAGATTATATCAGTTTGCAGTGTATAGGTATTTGCAATTTGAAATCGAAATATATAAATCTAGCTGTTACTGGCTGTTACTTATGAAACTGTTAAGATAAAGTAGTTTATAATAAAAGTGATTATTTAATTTGAATCAACTGTTTACAACCACCGGTAAGACCCTTTTAAAATAAAGTTAAAACTTTGAACACTCCCTATAGCTATTCACTATAATTTACCTAATTTAACATAAAATTAATAATAAGTAGGGGCACCAATGTGCACCGACTTATTTTTAGCGGCAAATTAGAAAAAAACAACAATTTGCATTTTTGCAGTCTTGAAAGGAAATTAATTCAATTTAAAGAGATAATGTCGAGCGACATAGATTCAATGAAGCTGCAGCTAAAATCCGGTTTGTGATATTAATTTTGATTAAACTATGTACGTGATACAAAAAAATACACAACAAATATTGTTTTTCTCTTTATCAATCAGTTTAATTGTATGTGCATATGTTGAAATTAACTTCGGTTTGTAGTAAAAAATAAAGCATTAACGAAGTTACAATTTCTACGAAAGATTTTAACTACGTATTCGTTTTCTATTCCATGTTACGTTAGTTTTAAAGCGTAAGCACAACAATGATAAAACCGAAAATCATTTGCGCACTACAGAGCGGAACCTTACAGAAGAAATTTCAGTTATAAGAAATGAAATAAGTTTGTTATCGGAGGAATTAGAGGTAAGTATCAAAGTAATTTACATTTAATTAAGTACTAAATAAAGCGTTACTTTTTCTAGGACCACTATGGATCACATTATCTTATTTTATTTTAGATACTAGTTAATGGTATTTCGGAAGCGAAAATTCAAATAGGCGTGGTAGAGATCTGTAAAGCTTCGGAACAGTGTAAAATGAAAGAGCAAGTTGAAATCCTTAACCTACACGCGGACGGATTCAAACAACTTTTTATGAAAGGTAACAAAAAACAATTTAATGTTTCGTTTTTTACGGACCGTATTACTTATAACGTTAGTTACGTTTCACATAATGCATAAAAAATGGTTCTTAGAACAATCGTGTCAAGTGGAAGATATTAAAGCGAAAGAAGCCGAGGCGGAAGAAACAAAAAAGAAAGAGCTGCAACTTCAGGAGGAACAGAAGAAGATCGCTAGTGCACTTGAAGAAGAAACAGAGTTGATTGAACGTGAATGTGCCGTCTTAAAGGTGGTTAATTCTAATACTTTGAATTATATAGAAATATTACCGTCACGACTACCTACTCGAAGTCGGTAATCGAACACCAAGGGTCATCGGTGTAGATTTTTTAAACTAAAACTATATTTAGGGAGTGGCTCAAAATCGGTATAAGTAAGCGGTAGGGAAAGGCATGGTTGAGCGTCAGCCCCACCCCTTTGCCATTCCCAGGGCACTGAACACTGAGCGAGTTACACAGTCTCTTATAACCCAGTTAACCCACCCGTAGCGTGGAAAAAGGGCGCCATAAAAATATGTCCCGGGGCGCTAGTAACCCTAATCTAGTACTGATGAAGCTGTTATTTCACATCTCACAATTCTCTCTCGAACTTAATTTTTATTTTTAATTACATATTTTGTTAAATACCATTAATTTCAGAAACGCAACAATGCCATAATGTTAAAGTTAAGACGTCAGTTGCTTGAAACGTACAAGATGAAGCAAAAACTAATTAAAAACGAATGATAATAAATGGGTTTTTAAAACATTAGGTCAATAAAAATAAAAAGCAACAAAATAGTTTTATTTTCAGGGGCACTGCCCACGGTGTTTTATTTTATAATTAAACTAAAATAAACATAGTTAACAGCACAATGCAATAAATATGATTTATAATGAGACGCAAAACCCGATTCTTTTAAAGTATTCCAAAACACTGAGGATTCCCAAAAAAGCTAGTTAATAATTACGTTATAAATTAGATAGTGCTTAATGCAGCTTTAACTAAGAATTTCTCAGGTTGAATGTTAACTTCACAATTAGATCCCTTTTTGTCTAAGTATGAAAAGTCATAGATTTCATTTTCTTTCGTAGATGACATTATTAGTGGAATTTTAAATACATTTGTATTTTATTTTATATCTGACTACTATATCGTACTAATCTAAATCTAAATTAAATAAAGCAGTCAAAATACTATTCGCAATACAGTTACCTCTCGACCACTTTCCTAATTATCTAGTTGCAAAATTAATGCTACACTTCTCTGAATCCAATGAGAGGACGGTTTATCCGATGGCAAATAAAAGGCTAATACAAAATTAGACGAATGCCCAGTTGTGGCTAAGACCCCCTTTCTCTCCAACGTCTTGTACAAAGGACATTTGTATCGCGTGCCTTCCGTGAACTCTGTCTTTAGTTTAGGAAACAACCAAATAACGGGCATTATGTCATGCAATATTTTCGGATATTGTTCAGCCACTACTTGGTCCTTACGATCCCAGCGACCGCCATCGACAAAGATACCCTGCACGTAAACTCCCCATTCCGCGGCAGTCGTTTCATAATCGACCTTACGAACTTCAAAATCAAATATCAACAAATCAATTGGAATTTTCTTAGCTCTTGCGTAATTTTGGATTGAGCCCGTGAGAAAAGCTTGTGTAAAGAAAAACCCTGAAAGCCAAAAAGTAGGAGGTTTGCCGTTTTCATACCAATTTTTTAACATAGACAAGCGTTCCACCAAATCGAGAACGTAACTGGGTAGCGGTTTCAAGCTGGGGTACGACAATTTACACCAATTTTCTGGTATCTTACCCAACAGCATTGCGTTAGCCATCATATCCAAGGCCGGCGACATAACAATAAGACCTTTCACAGCTTTCTGCAAATCTAAAAGAGATCTTATTACTTCATTAAGTAATTTGTTAAACCTTTCCATTTCTTGAATTAGGACAGTATTCATAGACTCATTGTAATCGACGGGGTATTTTTTTTGAGCCATCTCAGTATCAAATGTCACAGGAAGTTTAGACAAAATTTCTGATGCCATTTGAACAAGAATGACTTCTGTATTTCCGCCTTCCGCGCCGCTACCTCCACCTTCGACAAGGACTAGTGTCGAAGTGAGCTCCACGGAAATAGAATAATCTCTAGTTATTCCTGCATTCATATGTAAGCCAAATACTTCCGGCGGCGGAGAAACAGGCACAGATTCGATATGCTTAAGGTAGTCTTGATATTCACATCTGCGAGGCAATCCGTACTGGGATCCAATGTCACAAAACAAATAGTTGGGATCACTTACTACACCGGGATTAACATAATTATCTAATATAGTTACTATTAATCTTCGATCCCAATCGTCGGTTACTCTCCCACCATAGTTGCATTCCCCGGTCAAATATTTTATAGCTACATACTGTATTTCTTCATACTGGTTTAAAAACATCTGTAGTTGCATTACAGATATTTGAAAATCGGAATCATTAAAACCATATTGAATATTCCATCCTAGAGGGCCAAATTTCTTTCTTTCCTGAACCACGGCATGAAAAAAGCTTATTCCGTAAAGGAGCTTGCTAAAAGGTTTATCTTTCTCAGGACATCCTTCAAAGAATTCTTGTTCTTTCAATGGTTCAGACATATATGATCTAAATAAATTATGCTGTAACCCTGTCGGCGCTTCATTGGTCATTTTGACTGCTACTTGGAGTACAGATTGGGGAAATTTGTCTGATGGATAGCTAGTGAGCCATAACCTAAAACTTAAGTCTGTATTTGTCAGGTCAAAATTTTCAACAATTTTTTCAAGTACCGGAAGCCAAGAAACAGCTAAATGACAATTTTGCAAACAAACCCACCCTCCTTCTAATTGCGCCTTTTCTATCATAGCTCTTGCAATAGGTCCTTGACCTTGGCCTAATGAGATTGAATTAAATCGATGTGAAAAACCCATCTTCTCACAATATTTAATTAATGCTCCCATAGGATCCGAACCCGCAGATAATATAAAAATTAAAGGAGCTAAGCAATTTGAATCACCAAACGATTTACCAATGTCAAATGGTGGAGGAGTAATATATTTCCGACCCATTTGTTTTTCTACAAACTCTGAAATAGCGACGGTTAGTTTATCAGGTCTTAATATACGAATAATCAATAACTTTTGAAAGGCGCTTAACTTTTCATCCCATCCCAACGGCAACGGCTTATTATGGGGCTCCAGTTCATCGTACACTTCTTTCCATTTACTGGATGAGTCAACAAAACTTTTTTGAAATCCTTTATAGACAGTCAAATCATTTATTCGACATATTTCATCCCAACCTTTGTCGGGAATCCATTCAACTGGCTTCTTTAATGGATTTTCAACTGCAATACCTCCAGTTATAAGGAAAACATATTCCTCGTGATTCATTTCGTTAGTGGATAACATCATTTTAGAGCACATTATAAATGAAAACATAAGTTTATCTTTATCGAACAGGGATCTGCATACATTGCTGTACAAATTGTAAGTAAATGTTTCTTTTAAAAACTTTAATCTTTTATCTAAATCTTTAGATTTATTAGCATTCTCAATAGACAATATATACAAATTAATAAACCAGGTCAGTGAATACTGATACATTGGATCAACATTAGGTAGTTCAGTTACACAATAGTAAAGAACTGCTGAGTGTGATGCTATTGGTCTGTAACCTAATCTAAACTTTTCAATAATTTCTTCAGTTTCTAAACTAGCTTCTTGCTTCTTCATAATATCGACCGCTAAGAGCTTAGAAGAGTCTAGAACTTCAATCGCCGTTTCGTCTTCTAAAATATCACCTTTAGTTTCTTGTAATGTTCGTAATATGTCATCCTCGACCTGTTTGAGTGCGGTACGATTTGCAGCACCTTGTACAATTAATTGTTCACGTTTTTCTTGTAAATCAGGACGTTCTTTAGCTACTACTATTCCAAGCAATTGATCTTCTAAACCTTCTTTTGTCAAAGCAAAGTTTATTAAAGTGACTTTATTAAATACTTCGGGTAGGTAATGAGGATTTCTTAATTTAGTTGTCATGTAAAGCCTGAAATGTGGATGATACTCAATAACGTTGTCACCCAGTGCAATAAATTCTTTTCCACCCTGCATGTAAGTGTTCTTCATCAAAATGGGATCTAACGGTGCTTCTACATCTTCTAAAACACACTCTATCAAGGCAGGCTTTCCATATTCCAAACAAGTTTCAATAACTTTCATATAATTACCGTCGGTAAATTTCATTATTTGTAAATCGTTAGGCTTTTCCATTGTTTTAATCCATTTATTTGCTTGACCTTGTGGATCAACTAATAAACTCCATCGCATCGAATTATCTAAAATTACACCGTTATCTACGGAAAACGAATCCCTTGGTAAACCTGCAATACACCAATTTTGTATTTTAATATCTGATCCTAATACATCTTTCAATAAATAAGTTGGAGAATGGGGCATATCCAAATCTATAATCAGTTTTCTCCATTCATCGGTAACTTTTAACCTTACGGGTAGTGTAAATGGGGCAAGGTATGCTATGATTCCACATGATACTAAAATATCCCCGGCAAGATTATCGAATAACGTTTGGAGGTTAGCAGCAGCTGCTGTCCAGCGAACTTTCTCACCTCCCAGTCCACCAATAAGCTTTTCAGCACGATATAATTTATCAATACATAACTGAACTTCATCTTCCAAGGCTTTTTTCTTGATATTGGCTTCTTCTAATGCTTCATTCAACTCGGCTAGTTTAGCTTCTAAACGTGCCACAGTGGCTTTCTTTTCTTCCAATATAGCCATTGTCTCAGAAAATTCTTTTTCAGCCGCTTCTAGTTTTGCCTTTTTCGGAGCTACCACTTTTGCGACCGCATCGTACATATCCATAGCAATTATCCATTTACAAAGTCCTTCTGCAGCAGTAGATGCCTTGGCTATGATGTGCGGCTTGAAGTCTTTATGGGATAAATACTCTTTTCTAATTTTTTGCATCGTTGCAACAGGAATATTGTCTTTGTCAAAATTTTTCAAAGAATCTAAGAATCCCATATCACCTAATACACGTTTACTGGGACCCCAATAATCTAGCATTTTCTTTCCCGGATTGTCTGGATCGGGTATTTTATCAGGAGGTATACCTTTCATTACACATACTGCCGCCATCACCAACTTAACTGTCGCTGGTGGATTTTTCATTGATTTTACAATCGTTATATCAGCAGGCTTTAATGTGTTTAATGCAGCAATGGCATCTTCCAAAATTGGTAACGCAAGCGCTAAGTCAGCTTCACAATCTTTTTTCAATTCTTCTGCAGCAGCCGCTTGTACATTGGCTACTTTTTGATCCTCTCTTACTTGTGCTGCGGCTTTATCAGCTATTGCGGTTTCTACTTCTATTTCTTGCATCATTTTAGCTGATTTTGCTGCCATTACCATAAGCTGTGGCTTTAATTCATTTAAATCATGTTGCATGATTGAAACTGCTTCTGCAGCTTGGCTCAATTTATCTAAACCATTGGTGTACCTCAACTTTGCTGCTTTTAATTCACGTTGCTTTCTGTTTGTAAGGGTTGTAAATGATTTAATTAAATTGAGGTAAGACGCAGAAGTTACATAAGTCTTTCGACCAAACTGATTAAAGAAGTCAGCTGATATAACACGTGCATCTACATGAAATTGTTTACATATAATAACGGCAGTTGCTTTTATCTTATCGGAGACATTAACTTTGACCATA